CAGATATCACACTGAACCCCAAAATCTCCATTATTATACTGAACCCCAAAACATGTCCTGCTCCCCCTGTGACAGTGATATTATACACAGCTAGTGTCTCAGTATAATAATAATAATAACACAGGGCTGCAGATATCACACTGAACCCCAAAATCTCCATTATTATACTGAACCCCAAAACATGTCCTGCTCCCCCTGTGACAGTGATATTATACACAGCTAGTGTCTCAGTATAATAATAATAATAACACAGGGCTGCAGATATCACACTGAACCCCAAAATCTCCATTATCAAACTGAACCCCAAAACATGCCCTGCTCCACCTGTGCCAGTGATATTATACACAGCTAGTGTCTCAGTATAATAATAATAATAATAACACAGGGCTGCAGATATCACACTGAACCCCAAAATCTCCATTATTATACTGAACCCCAAAACATGTCCTGCTCCCCCTGTGACAGTGATATTATACACAGCTAGTGTCTCAGTATAATAATAATAATAATAACACAGGCCTGCAGATATCACACTGAACCCCAAAATCTCCATTATTATACTGAAGCTCCACAAATCTCCATTATTACAGCCAGATTCACAATGCTCTGACTTCATATTGCACAGTGCATGAGTTCTCCCCCTTATTTTCCTGGGTCCTTGAAGTAGGATTATTTGATTATATAGCGCCCACATATTCCGATCGATTTACCGTTACAGAATGTGCTAACTGACATGTTTTTGACATACAAAATATAATCACAAACAAGCAGTGTCAGCCTGGGGGCTAGGAGGAGAGTATGATGACACTATGGGCGGCCATGAAAAAAAAGATTAAACCCAGGACATCCAATTAGCTAAAAAAACAACACATTTAACCTCTTAACGACCACGTTTGTAACCCGTTAAGGATCTCAGTCTGGTCCATAAAGATCCTGTTAGTGTGTAACGTACACCTTAATTATCGTCTGCAGCTCTACATGGCCCTGCGTTCGCTACGTTAATCATTTTATTTTCATATAGGATATTTTAAGGCTGGCTTGTTATGGCGTAATATTACATTATTGGACGTTATAAGGCGTATTTCACAGGCATATTTCTAACCCCTACAACACAGAGCTGAAAAGGATGTTTGTAAACCGCCACTGGGCCGGCCTGCATGGCGGGTGTTCGCAAAGACAGGAGAAAAAAGGGCAAACGCACCTAGCTGTCGTAAGTAGCCCTTTCAGACAGCCCGAGATACTGACTGATTGTGTGAGGAAATACAGAGTTATTCACTAAGGTGAGAATCCAAGGTGAATTTCTAAATCAATGATAAAATAGCCAACGTGGAAAATGTCTGCTAAAATTCCTCTAAGTGAGATAAGATTGCATTTCGGCTACTCTGGCCTTGAATTTTAAATTCGCTTTGAATCCCCACGTTCGTAAATAACCCTGACAATAAATGTATTAGACAATGAAGATGTGTATACGGATGGCATATATCCAGACAGACCAAATGACCCATCGAGTTCCCAGGATGTGCCATAATTCATCATGACAATCCATAAACGGTGTGTAGAGTATCTTGCTGGGATTGGATCGTATCAGCACAAGCGTTATTTGGAGATTGTGCTGACAGCCCTGTAGCATTAGCTGCATTCTCTATGTATAATGACGCCGTCCCTCACCCACCATTACAGCCATCCTAATTGGCTAATCCCTCATTTAATAACTCTCTTGTTTTTAACGTGCAAGATAGTGTACCGAAGGGTGATTACATATTTACTATTCTAAGAAATGATTTCATTAGAGCTGGAATCTCGTGATGTTATGACGATTGTCGCCACAAACTTTCAGCAGCCAAAGTCATGCTATGTACGTATCTGGATCCGCCATAGCTTATTTTATAGGGTGCTATCAAATTCAAGTTGTTCTTTTAATGTAGTCATAGTTCAACAACCAAGGGCATTCACTGATCTGATTCATGTTTTCTAAATTTGTAAAAACAATGCAGAGTGATTTGCAGCAAAACCTTCACATGACTAATTTTACTTTCCTGTACATCTTGCAAATGCACTTCTGAATTAATCTTAAAGGGTTACTCCAGCATTATAAGCGTTGAGCCTCCTGTAGTGATTATGATTGAAGTCAGTAGTATCCCAGCCCGATTCCCCAGTAGTGGGGCCATCTGTTTTGGGGTGGGTTGCCCTCCTACCTGGTCTCCAGCAATGTTCCTTTCAGCGCTTTTGGGGCTACTCCATATGTACAGCGTTATTGAGACCTATAGTCACTAAAACAACTTGTTCAGCCCCAACCACACCTCCCTGCATGTGACTTGCACAGCCTTCCTAAACACTTCCTGTAAAGAGTCCTCTAATGTTTACACTTCCTTTATTGCAAATTCTGTTTAATTTAAACATTCTTATTTCCTGCTCTGTTAAAAGCTTGCTAGGCCCTGCAGGAGCCTCCTGTGTGAGGTTAGAGTTCAGTTTACAGAGTAGGAGATACAAACTTTTAACATTAGCAAAGGTACATCTGATTGAAAAGGAAGGCATTTTTTTTTCATTCAGGCTGTGTCAGTCACAGTGAGGGGAGGTGTGGCTTGGACGGAGTAAACAGAAACAAAGTGGTTTAACTCCTAAATGGCAGTGAATTGAGCAGTGAGACTGCAGGGGCATGATCTATACACCAATACTACTTCATTTGGAAGTTAATAAAAATCCTCCAAGTGAGCTGTTTTAACTTGAAATCCACACTTTAGAGAATTACCGTGGCTGTGTCTCATCTTTGTTCACGTTCAGGTAGCACTACGGACCTAGTACATCTCTCTGTTCCCAAATTAACTTTTGGTTTTACATATTTGATTCTGAGCTGCAGTCTATGTTAGCGCTATATTTATAAATATTCAGGAAGTAGCTGCTTTGAATCTGCATGGCTGGGTCAATATTTTGAAGCTGCTCCTCTGGGCTGAGCAGGTCCTGTTCCTGTATTGGGCTGAGCCTGTCCTGTTCCCTGTATTGGGCTGAGTCAGTCCTTTCCCTGTATTGGGCTGAGCCTGTCCTGTTCCCTGTATTGGGCCGAGTCAGTCCTGTTCCCTGTATTGGGCTGAGTCAGTCCTGTTCCCTGTATTGGGCTGAGCCTGTCCTGTTTCCTGTATTGGGCTGAGCCAGTCCTGTTCCCTGTATTGGGCTGAGCCTGTCCTGTTTCCTGTATTGGGCTGAGCCTGTCCTGTTCCCTGTATTAGGCTGAGTCAGTCCTGTTCCCTGTATTGGGCTGAGCCTGTCCTAATCCCTGTATTGGGCTGAGCCTGTCCTAATCCCTGTATTGGGCTGAGCCAGTCCTGATCTCTGTAGTGGGCTGAGCTTGTCCTGTTCCATGTATTGGGCTGAGCCTGTCCTAATCCCTGTATTGGGCTGAGCCAGTCCTGATCTCTGTATTGGGCTGAGCTTGTCCTGTTCCATGTATTGGGCTGAGCCTGTCCTGTTCCCTGTATTGGACTGAGTCAGCCCTGTTCCCTGTATTGGGCTGAGCCTGTCCTGATCCCTGTATTGGGCTGAGCCTGTCCTGTTCCCTGTATTGGGCTGAGCCTGTCCTGTTTCCTGTATTGGGCTGAGCCTGTCCTGTTCCCTGTATTGTGCTGAGCCTGTCCTGTTCCCTGTATTGGGCTGAGCCAGTCCTGTTTCCTGTATTGGGCTGAGCCTGTCCTGTTCCCTGTATTGGGCTGTCAGTCCTGTTCCCTGTATTGGGCTGAGCCTGTCCTGATCCCTGTATTGGGCTGAGCCAGTCATGATCTCTGTATTGGGTTGAGCTTGTCCTGTTCCATGTATTGGGCTGAGCCTGTCCTGATCCCTGTATTAGGCTGAGCCAGTCCTGTTTCCTGTATTGGGCTGAGCCAGTCCTGATCTCTGTAGTGGGCTGAGCTTGTCCTGTTCCATGTATTAGGCTGAGCCTGTCCTAATCCCTGTATTGGGCTGAGTTCCATGTATTGGGCTGAGTCCTGATCTCTGTATTGGGCTGAGCTGAGCCTGTCCTGTTCCCTGTATTGGGCTGAGCCTGTCCTGTTCCATGTATTGGGCTGAGGCTGTCCTGTGCCCTGTATTGGGCTGAGCCTGTCCTGTTCCCTGTATTGGGCTGTCAGTCCTGTTCCCTGTATTGGGCTGAGCCTGTCCTGATCCCTGTATTGGGCTGAGCCAGTCATGATCTCTGTATTGGGTTGAGCTTGTCCTGTTCCATGTATTGGGCTGAGCCTGTCCTGATCCCTGTATTAGGCTGAGCCAGTCCTGTTTCCTGTATTGGGCTGAGCCAGTCCTGATCTCTGTAGTGGGCTGAGCTTGTCCTGTTCCATGTGGCTAGGCTGAGCCTGTCCTAATCCCTGTATTGGCTGAGCCAGTCCTGATCTCTGTATTGGGCTGAGCTTGTCCTGTTCCATGTGGGCTGAGCCTGTCCTGTTCCCTGTATTGGACTGAGTCAGCCCTGTTCCCTGTATTGGGCTGAGCCTGTCCTGTTCCCTGTATTGGACTGAGTCAGCCCTGTTCCTGTTTGGGCTGAGCCTGTCTCTGATTCCTGTATTGGGCTGAGCCTGTCCTGTTCCCTGTATTGGGCTGAGCCTGTATTGGGCCTGTTCCCTGTATTGGGCTGAGCCTGTCCTGTTCCCTGTATTGGGCTCTGTATTGGGCTGAGCCTGTCCTGATTCCTGTATTGGGCTGAGCCTGTCCTGTTCCCTGTATTGGGCTGAGCCTGTCCTGTTCCATGTATTGGGCTGAGGCTGTCCTGTGCCCTGTATTGGGCTGAGCCTGTCCTGTTCCCTGTATTGGGCTGAGTCAGTCCTGTTCCCTGTATTGGGCTGAGCCTGTCCTGATCCCTGTATTGGGCTGAGCCAGTCATGATCTCTGTATTGGGTTGAGCTTGTCCTGTTCCCTGTATTGGGCTGAGCCTGTCCTGATCCCTGTATTAGGCTGAGCCAGTCCTGTTTCCTGTATTGGGCTGAGCCTGTCCTGATCCCTGTATTAGGCTGAGCCAGTCCTGTTTCCTGTATTGGGCTGAGCCAGTCCTGATCCCTGTATTGGGCTGAGCCTGTCCTGTTTCCTGTATTAGGCTGAGCCAGTCCTGTTTCCTGTATTGGGCTGAGCCTGTCCTGTTTCCTGTATTAGGCTGAGCCAGTCCTGTTTCCTGTATTGGGCTGAGCCTGTCCTGATCCCTGTATTGTGCTGAGCCAGTCCTGTTCCCTGTATTAGGCTGAGCCTGTCCTGTTCCCTGTATTGGGCTGAGCCTGTCCTGATCCCTGTATTGGGCTGAGCCTGTCCTGATCCCTGTATTGTGCTGAGCCAGTCCTGTTCCCTGTATTGGGCTGAGCCTGTCCTGTTTCCTGTATTAGGCTGAGCCAGTCCTGTTTCCTGTATTGGGCTGAGCCTGTCCTGATCCCTGTATTGGGCTGAGCCTGTCCTGTTCCCTGTATTGTGCTGAGCCAGTCCTGTTCCCTGTATTGGGCTGAGCCTGTCCTGTTTCCTGTATTAGGCTGAGCCAGTCCTGTTTCCTGTATTGTGCTGAGCCTGTCCTGTTCCCTGTATTGGGCTGAGCCTGTCCTGTTCCCTGTATTGTGCTGAGCCTCACAGTCCCTGTCATTGTGCTGAGCCCTGTCCTGTTCCTGTATTGGGCTGAGCCTGTCCTGTTTTCCTGTATTGGGCTACAGGCCTGTCCTGTTTCCTGTATTGTTCCAGGCCAGTCCCTGTTTCCTGTGTCAGGGCTTGGAGCCTGTCCTGATCCCTGTATTGTGCTGAGCCTGTCTGATCCCTGTATTGTGCTGAGCCTGTCCTGTTCCCTGTGTTAGGCTGGAGCCTGTCCTGTTTCCTGTATTGGGCTGGAGCCTGTCCTGTTCCCCTGTGTTGTGCAGGCCTGTCCTGATCCTGTGTTGGGCTGAGCCAGTCCTGTTTTCTAGCTGTTAGATTTGGGCCTGTCCTGATCCTGTATTGTGCTGAGCCGGTCTGTTCCCTGTATTGGGCTGAGCCAGTCCTGTTTCCTGTATTAGGCTGAGCCAGTCCTGTTTCCTGTATTGTGCTGAGCCTGTCCTGATCCCTGTATTGGGCTGAGCCTTTCCTGTTCCCTGTATTGGGCTGAGCCTGTCCTGTTTCCTGTATTGTGCTGAGCCTGTCCTGTTTCCTGTATTGGGCTGAGCCTGTCCTGATCCCTGTATTGTGCTGAGCCTGTCCTGTTCCCTGTATTGGGCTGAGCCTGTCCTGTTTCCTGTATTGTGCTGAGCCTGTCCTGTTTCCTGTATTGGGCTGAGCCTGTCCTGATCTCAGTGTGTGTCTGTATTCTTTAGATCTCCCAGCATGCCCTGGGAACCTGCCCACAGTAGGAGCTAATAGAAGCCCTGCACTGAGAGAGCCAATGGGAAGTCATGTCACATAATGCGGCTAATTTACTGACACTGTGGAATGTGTCGCCCAATAAGAATGTGGGCCTGCAGTGACGTCACTGCTGGTATAAAAGCCTGCTGCACAGCCCTACTTTCTTCTTCTATTCCTGTCAACCGGAGAGTGAGTGAGTCTCAGGGGTGAGAGTGATGGGGCTGGGAGAGGGGGGTGAGTGAGGGTGAGGTGAGGTGTCTCAGAAGAAGGTTGGTGGGGGTGAGGTGTGTCTCAGGGGATGGTGGGGGTGGGTGTCTCAGAAGGGATGGTGGGGGTGGGTGTGTCTCAGGGATGGTGGGGGTGAGGTGTGTGTCTCAGGGATGGTGGGGTGAGGTGTCAGGGGGTGTGTGTCTCTCAGGGGGATGGTGGGGGTGAGGTGAGGTGTCTCAGGGGATGGTGGGGTGGTGGTGGAGTGTCTCAGGGGATGGTGGGGGTGGTGGTGGAGGTGTCTCAGGGGATGGTGGGGTGGGTGGGTGGGGTGTCCTCAGGGATGGTGGGGGGGTGGGTGGTGGAGTGTCTCAGGGGATGGTGGGGGTGAGGTGAGTGTCTCCGGGGATGGTGGGGTGGTAGGTGTGTCTCAGGGATGGTGGGGGGGTTGTGAGTGAGTGTGTCTCAGGGATGGTGGGGGGAGTGAGTGATGGGGCTAAGAGAGGGAGGGGTCCTGGGTGGGGGTGCATTGGGTTCTCTGAGTGTGCCCGGTGCTCTGTACAGTCTCCTCTGACAATGTGCTGGGCGCTCTATTAATACAGTCTGTCCTCTGGCTGGGTGCTCTGCTCAGTGGGACATTGTGTTAACAGTCTGTGTATTTACCCATTTCCTTCCCATAGAATGGCTGCCAACCAGGAGCGCACGTTTATAGCAGTCAAGCCTGATGGGGTCCAGCGGGGACTGGTCGGTGATATCATCAAACGGTTTGAACAGAAAGGATTCCGCCTGGTAGCCATGAAAATTATGCAGGTAGCCACCTTTTGTTTAGATACCCTGGAGGACTGGCTCCTGCTGTAAGAATGTTCCAATTTATGCCCTTCTTGCCCCCTAACGTATGCCCCGGCTGTGAATGTGATATTGCCATATGTTGGTGTCCCTGGTTCTGACACTGATTAGGGTCTGTCCACTGCTCCCGCTCCATGACCTTGCAATGTCTCCCCGTTCAGACACTTCTTTGTTCTGCTCAGAAGGTTCCGGGTTTGGCCAACACTAGACTCCCTGGGGCGTTATTAACCCTCCTGGTCTCTTTAAAGCTTATATTATGTTTCTACCGTCTATACAGGAGAATAGACCTCCGAATGGTGTATAACTAAACCTTCCAGAATTTGGAGTCCTTCATCTGCTGTAGATTCACCTTTAGCTACCCTTGCACTAAGGGGTTAAATTAACCAATTAATTGTATCAATGTGAATAATACTGTTACCTTTCACTTTTTGAGTGACTGCTGCCTGTACTGTCTGCAAATGTCTTTGATAGATTCCCTGCATTTCTGAGTTTTCATTTTCATGCCTTCTCTTGCAGGCCCCTAAAGACCTCTTGAAACAGCACTACATTGACCTTAAAGATCGCCCCTTCTACAATGGATTGGTTGAATACATGAGCTCCGGGCCAGTGGTTCCTATGGTAGGTACTGGGCAGTGCCCTGCTGAGATCAATGTCAGGGATATTTAATTCCAGTGAATTGTTGGGGTTGAAGAATGCATTGCAATAATACCTCCTGAAATATTCTCCAAATTGCTATCGTCACATCTTAACGATCGTAGACTCAACTTTGTGTTTTTTTTTTTTTTTTGTCTAAAATTCATAGCTTAGTAATGTAAACCCCTGTCTTGGTTTTTTTTTTTTTTTCTTCTTGAGTGTTAAGATAACAATCATGTCAGGTTCTACATATAATTACATCCAAAGCCATAAATGGATAATCGATTTTATATTTTACGAGATTGTTCCTTTTAATAGTGTGTGTGTATATGTTTTATTGTGGTCCCCCTTCAAAATAATAAACTAAACTAGCCTATAATCCAGAGCCAAGGCAGTCCTGTTTCTACAGCCCAATCCACCCATAGTGAGATCAGTCCTGATAATCTCTAGTCCATGTCCTACACTTCTTAACAAGCCAAGAAGTTGTTAATCATTGCAAGCCAGCAGAGTCCATGGTAAGCTTACCAGTGAGTTTCTAATACCAAAGATGGCTTTTAACTTGCCCTTAGCTTAGACTGTCAATCTGTTCCAATACTGCATATAGAAAAGTATGACGTTTAAATACTTATCTGAGAAGCACTGGTTGCATTCAGTGTCACATGGAGCATGATGACTGATTGTGAATACTTTGGGGGGGTGGCAGTGTTTACTCACCAGCTGTCTAGTGTGCCGGTGCTGCCTTTCTGAGGGTTGTGGGAGTTTGCACTACTGTAGAAGTCTTGTGAATGGAGAGATACTGAATGGCTCATAACATTGGCTCTCTCAATTGGCAATGCCTCTATCAAGAATCTGAGCAATGGGACAGGGAAACTGTTTTTTTGAAGTAAATGATTCATGAATCCTTTAACCCCTAAGGTGTCCAGTGACCTCCTGGAACCATAACTACTTTACAATTAAAGCTTTTCTTGGTGCCCAGAGTGTGCCTTTAAACCGAAAGTGTAACCTTAATGGGTAGACTTAGTGTCCAGTATCTGTGGTATTTATAGAGTAATTCACGCCAGGAATGAATGAAACGTGAAGCAGGGTGTCCTGTAACAAGCTCATCCCATTCTCCACAGGTCTGGGAGGGTCTGAATGTGGTGAAGACAGGCCGTGTGATGCTGGGAGAGACCAACCCTGCAGACTCTAAGCCCGGCACCATCCGTGGAGATTTCTGCATACAGGTTGGCAGGTAAGTGGTGTAAACACCCCCCCCAAACACACGACTTCATTCCTTCTCTTCCAGAATCCAGTTGACCGCACAGAATACTTGGCAGCTTTTGCCATTTGATCATCTAGACTTGCAGGAAGTGAATTATTTGAATAATGCTATTTAATTAAGTTTTATGGCTTCTGCAGGCTGACCTCTTCAATTATGAAGATGAATCATTAAAAATAAAACCTTTTTAAATCCGTTCCTGTCTTGCTGCACATTTTCACAGTCCTGCATTAATGTCTGAAGCCAGAGTGTGATCTGGATAATATTTCCCAGCCAATCCTGGTCCTCTTAAATGTAACGGAAATGTAGTAACCATAACGGTAGGGTTTACATGGTGTTATAGGTGAGAGACTAAAGTTCAAGCATTATAAAACAAAGCTTTTGTGCTGTTGATCCAAAAAGTCCCTCCTTGACTTACAAATGGTATTCAGACTCCTAGTAACAACCTGTTTAATAATCTTTTTCTAATGACATGATGCTGAACTGACTTGTGACTTGACTGGATACGTTGACAGACTAAATGTTTGTGTAGGAAAATATTGGAAGCTCTTGGCTGAGTATGTTTGGAGCTTTAGAGATGTTGTTAAACTGAATCCCTGAGTGAACCTATTGTGAATCATTTAACTGGCCTGCAGTCTATCCCATATTACAAAGATTTCTGGTGACTTTAATGTAGAATACACTACCTGCATTCCAGTGACTGTTTGTGGGTGTTACTCTGTGTAACTCCCCACCTGGCCATCCTCTGGCCCGCCTTTGTTTCTTCTTTAACGTGCCCTGCTTGGGACACATCGGGCAAATATCTACAGGTATATCTGCACACTGGCTTCATAACTTATACGCCCTAGCCAGCGCTTCTAGTTTCTATAGGAATAGAAGTGCATGTGCTGTGGTTGCTATAGGAAGAGAGCTGAGGGACTTCCTGTGGGAGGTATTTTCTGCTCACCCTAATTTTAAATCTAAAGATGATGGTACCAGGTATGGATAAAAGATTATGCCTAATCTAATGAGCATAGGCAGTCTGTGGCACAACAGGTGCCCTCTTTAACAGCTTTCTATTCTAGCTAGCTCATTTGCTAAAAGTTGCATGATGTTCAGTGAGCCTTCAAGTGCGCACCTCAGTCCAGTTGCAGAAGTCACCCAGCGTCTCATGATCAGTCTGTCACTTAGTAACCTTCCAAGTACTGACATAACGGCTTCCCTTGTGGCTGAGTGAATAGGAGTAACCTGGGGCTTCTCGTTCATGTTTTATAGGCAGAGGCCAGTGTTTCTAAATATTGCGGTTATCTCCTTCTGGATTATTGGGTATTATCTGTTTCTTAGAGGCAGGTGACTTATTTTAGAGACCTTCCCAGGGTTGTCAAACTACCTCTCCTACTGCTGTTTGACTTCAGAAAGCTGGAAACTCTAAGCAAACCTTTAGGGGACTTTAATATAGAAATAAGGCTACAGATGGAGATCCCTTATTTATCTTGGCTTGTAAAGGTTTGTTTCAGAATGAGTCAGGCCTGTGTGCTGCAGCTGCTACCATCTTACTTGTTGCTCCTGCCCAGGGCCAGTTCTTGGGAGTGAGTGTAGATATGAGGTGTCTATATTCGCTGTCTGTCCCTCATGCTACAATCACTTTACACATGGCCTTGTTCAGTTTAGTTGGACTATGAGCCGATCTCCCGACAGGTAGCGCTCAGCCCAAGTTGTGTGCAGCCTGCAGACAAGGCACACAAAGACTAACACAACATTCTAGAATTCTGATCTGGAGTAGGTTTATAGCCGTGTGGTGTGTTCCCCCTACAAATCAAGTGACTCACAGAGCTGAGTTGCTGTATGCTTACTTCATACACCAGTAATGTGAAGTTATGCAAAGCTGTAATGGTGCTTAGTGACCCCCTTAGTGCTAACCCCTCTGTAGTGGCTCACAGTATCATATTGTCAATGTGTTGCATGCAGTAGACTGCTTACTAAGGCTCTGTATTTACCATATTCTGTCGTCACTTACCTGTTCTGACTTACCGTTGCATCTTCCAGGAACATCATTCACGGCAGCGACTCTGTGGAAAGTGCCAAGAAGGAGATTGCCTTGTGGTTCACTCCAGAAGAGCTGTGCGACTACAAAAGCTGTGCCAACGACTGGGTGTATGAATAACGAGCGTCTTTCCTTTACCTGTCAGTCATTCCGTTACATGAATAAAGTATTACTGCCCCCAAACAAGCTTGCCTGTGTCCTGTTTTGCTTACATGTAAATCTAGATCAATACTTGCCACCATCAGAACTGCAAAAAGACAATAAACATGAAAATCCTGGCTCTGACATCTGCACTGCTATAGCAGGCCTTAAGCACACAGTGTCCTGATTAGACCTATTAATTAGCACAATGTATGACTGAGAAACTGGTCTGAAAACACCCATACAAGTCCTCTGGAGCAAAGGAAGTCCTGTTCTAGAACTGGCTTATGTGGCCAGCAATGTTTGAGCAGATCTAAAACGAAAGACAGAATGTACACTTCTGGAGGAAAGGGCTTTACATAATCTGCTCCTAGTCCTTTATCAGGCTGGCTGAGCGTGTTTGGAGGTAGAGCACATTACAAGAACCTTGCCTCTATCGGAGGTTATTTTCCTGTAGATCCAAGAAGCTTTTAATCCCAAGAGGGTGGATAATATTACTAACCGTTTAACAAAATCCCATTGCTAATCACCAAACACTGACTGGAAAGAAAAGCTCTGAAATCATTAAAGCTGCACATCTGGGTAATCACTGGAGTCTGTCTACCCAGAAACTGCATGGGCCAGAGGGCCTTGTAGTACAATAAAAGGGACAACTGTCACATCAAAGCTCCTTAATTTTATTTATTTTTTCTTTATGTGTAATAGAATGGGAATGCAGCTGTACCTTAATTCTATGACTGGATCCTTCAGACTTACACCTTGGGTCAGACAGTGTTTGAAAACTGATGGATTCTCATACAGCAGTGGGCTGACTGCGCAAAGGGAGCTTCGGTTTCCCCTTCCTGGTCTGATAGGAAGTGCTCACTAAGTGTTGAACTGCTTCCTCAGACTGGGTAGAGGAAACCTGAAGCGCCTATACTGAGGCCTGCTAACTCAGGTAGGGAGGACAAGAGATACACAAAGGAGTTGGGGGAAGAAAGAGGTCAGCCAGCAACAGTAACTAAGATGAAGAGCCAACGTGGGCTGGGTATGTTATATTACTATATTGTGAATAGAGGCCGAAGTGTTAGTTGATGGATCATACATGTACTGCACATGTGGAATCTGGTCAAAACCACTTATTCCTCGTAACTTCAGTGACGCGGCCGCAGCTAACGTGACATGTTCGAGTAATGGAACACCATTTCGACTGCTGCTGTGTCATGAAATGATGCATGTCTGAAAAGTGACACCAACATGAAAAGCTCTGCTCTATGATCTTCTTCCTCTCTCTGCACAGAGCCAGACAGGGAAGACCATAGAGACAAACTCATTTTCAAACACTCCTTGACCCAAGCTGTGTGTATGGCCAAATGATCCTGTCCTACTATAGCTAGGTAGGGGTGAGGTTCTTTTGTTAAATAGTTTTATAGTGACAGTTGTCCTGATGGGTTACCCCCCCCTATTAACCTGAACGGTAAACAACTTACCATGACCCATCGAACCTCACTTCTCATAGTGAATCATTTGATTGGGCATCCTCACAGAGCATACACCTACTGTGAGCCAGAGATGGAGTGGGTGTGGATAATGAAGGGAATTATTTATCAGTGGAATAGGGGGTATTGATGCACCCCTAGTGCTGCGTGTAAGGGTAGAAACTGATAAGGTCTGTCGCTAGTGCGCAACAACAGACTTACTATTTGCACAAATTTAACATTAGGCAGCCCAAAACTATGCTGGGACTTTAACATGGCCCAAAAGTGCAAATATCTCCTTATTCCAGTTATTGATTATGGGGATGTAGTGTATGCACCTGCACCGCAAGCCCACCTTCATAAACTTACTACATTGTATAATTTGCCGCTTTGTGCTACAATGTTCCTACTTGATCCACCATTGTAACATGTTAAAATGGCTAAACTGTCTCTGGAATACAGACGCACCCGTCAACTTTACAGTCTTGTGTTTAAGAGCTTTTCTGGGAAACCCCCACCCTACCTGAGCAGAATGCCCCTCCCCGGCTGTTTCCACCTCCTATATCCTCCGATCCAGTACCAGCACAAAAAAAAATAAAGGGACCCGACCCTCATTTTCTTACAGAGCACCACAATTATGGAATAACCTCCCCCTCCACATATCTTAAAACAGAAGGCATCTGTCATTATTATTATTATTGCCATTTATATAGCGCCAACAGATTCCGTAGCACTTTACAATATTATGAGAGGGGGAAGATTTAACTATAAATAGGACAATTACAAGAAAACTTACAGGAAAGATAGGTTGAAGAGGACCCTGCTCAAACAAGCTTACAGTCTATAGGAGGTGGGGTAAAAAACACAATAGGACAGGAAACAGCAATCAAATAAAATGGGAGTGACGCAGAGCTGGAGGGGAGAGTAAAGTGCTACCCATAGAGACAGGTATGTAAGGTAGAGGTTAGTCTGGGGGGCCATAAGCCTTCCTAAAGAGATGGGTTTTAAGGCACTTCTTAAACGACTGAAGACTAGAGGAGAGACTGATGGGGGTAGGCAGGCTAGTCCATAGGAAGGGAGCTGCCCGCGGGAAGTCCTGCAAGCGTGAGTTGGCCGTACGGGTGTGAGCAACGGACAGGAGAAGGTCACAGGCCGAGTGGCGAGACCGAGAAGGGACATACCTATGGATCTGTGAAGAGATATAAGAGGGGCTAGAATTGTTCAATTTATAGGTATGGGTTAGCACTTTGAATTGACTCCTATAGGATACAGGGAGTCAATGTAAGGACTGACAAATCAGTTTGGCAGCAGCATTCATTACAGACTCTAGCGGGGCAATACAGCTTTTGGGAAGTCCAATTAGGAAAGGGTTACAATAATCCATGCAGGAAATTACTAGAGAATGGAAAGCTCCTTGGTAGAATCTTGTGTAAGAAAGGGGCGGATGCTGGCTATGTTTTTAAGATGAAATCTACCAGATTTGGCAACATGCTGGATGTGAGGCTCAAAGGTGAGGCCAGATTGAAATATGACGCCAAGATAGCGCGCATGCAAGGATGGACTTATGTGGATACCACTAATTTGAAGGGAAAGTGAAAGAGGAGGATCAGTATTAGGAGGAGGAAAGACAGGGAGCTCAGTTTTAGAGAGATTGAGTTTCAGAAAGCGGGAGGACATCCAGTCAGAGATGGAAGAAAGGCAAACAGTGACACGTTGCAGGACGGCAAGGGAGAGGTCCAGGGAGGAGAGATATATCTGGGTGTCATCAGCGTACAGGTGGTAGTGGAATCCAAAAGAGGTAATAAGCTTGCCAAGAGAGGCAATATAAAGAGAAAATAGAAGGGGACCGAAGTACAGAGCATTGGAGGGACTCCAACCGAGACAGGACGAGGGGAGGAGGTATCAGAGACCGAGTGATTGTAGAGTTTGAAGAAAGAGAGCATGATCAACGGTGTCAAAGGCAGCAGAGAGGTCAAAAAGAATTAGTATGTAGTAGTAGCCTTTGTATTTAGCTGCAATTAGGTCGTTAGTAACTTAGATAAGAGCAGTCTCAGTAGAGTGGAGAGGGTGGAAGCCAGATTGAAGAGGGTCAAGGAGAGAGTTGGAATTGAGGAAGTAAGACATACGGGGGAGGATGGGTCAAGAGATTTTTTTTCAGGATAGGTACTACAGTGGCATGTTTAAAGTGAGCAGAGACAATGCCAGAAGAGAGAGAGCAGTTGAAGATGTGTGTTAAGGGAGGCGCAAGACAAGGGGAGAGAGATCTGATAAGGTGAGACGGGACAGGATCAAGTGGTGGGGTGAGAGCAAAGGAGAAGCGCAGCCACCTCTTGTTCAGTACCCGGGGAGAAAGTCTATAGGGTAGGAAAGGCATGCTCTACGTGTGGTTGAGAAAGAAAACAGCAAGGTGGGGAGAGTTCTTTCCTTAGCTGTTCAATCTTGTCGGTAAAGTAGCATGCAAAGCTATCGGCTGTAAGGTTAGTTTGGGGGGTGGCCACAGCAGGGTGAAGAAGAGAATTAAAGGTGTCAAAGAGACGCCTGGGATTGCGGGAGCATGAACTAATGAGAGAGGAAAAATATAACTGTTTGGCGAGGGCAGGGGCGGTGCTGTTTGAACACAATATGAATCTATAATGGAGAAAATCTGACTGGGTGCGAGACTTCCTCCACAACGAGAGCATCTTTGCAGGTAGTGTGTTGATTTACTATGCCACGGTGCATGTTTGGAGCGGGCTGCAGGTGTGAGGGTAGTGTTATATGTGGAGATGGCCAGTGAGGGACAGGAGAGGGAAGGGATGGATAGCAGTTGTGAATCAATATCAGCTGCTGGGGGTCAATAGAATTAAGGTTCCTCCTGAGTTGAGGGGGGTTAGGCTGAGGTTGTTGGGTGAGGCGGTGATTAGAGAGAGGAAATGGAGTGTTGCAGATATTAGATACTGTACATGCATAAGAGAAGATTAGGTCAAGGGCATGGGTGGGAGAATTAGCCCACTGTGATAGCCCGAGAGAGGAAGTTATTGAAAGTAGTTAGACTGCTGAGGTCAAAGGTGGCTTAATGGGAATATTGAAGTCCCCAAGAATTAGGGATGGAATATTAGAAGAGAGGAAATAGGGTAACCAGGCAGCAAAGTGGTCAAAGAAGAGGAGAGGGGAAACAAAGTTAATGTAAACAAAGCCCCAGGGCCAGATGGTATGCACCCATGATATATAACGGCAATGTTAGTAGAGAAGGGTTTGAAAAGGCGAATCGAATGAATTGTCATGGTTGATTATATATTCTTGCCTGTTCTATGTTAAAATTTGTATATGTGTTGTGTATTAATATTGTTTTAGCATTTAACTGTATCCTATTGTAACAAGGTAGTTTGTGGGCCCAGGACATACTTGAAAACAAGAGAAATCTCAATGTATCCTTCCTGGGATAAATGTTATAACTAAATGTGCAGAATTGTACAAAAAAACCCACACACACTCTCTCTCTCTCGTAGCCAAAGAGAGCAAGACCAACCCCCCAAAAAGTATTTTAAGGTACATGAATGCCAAAAAGGTTAAGAGTGAAAGTGTTGGTCCATTAGAATCTGAGATAGGTGTGTTAATCAAGAAGAATCAGGACAGGGCCATAATTATAATTTTATTTTCTTCAGTATATATATTAAGAAAAACTTATAGCTGTATATCTGTAAATCTCTGTTACAAAACCTTTACAGCAATCAGGTGATTGGTTAACACAGGATAAAGTGCTACTGCAATTAAAAAAAAAGTTAATGTAAACAAAGCCCCAGGGCCAGATGGTATGCACCCATGACCACTTATGGAGTTTAGTGTAAAAATATCCATACCACCGGTTTTAATCTTTCAGAATTCTTTTATTTCAGGAATTGTACCAGAGGAGAAAAACAGATGTGATTACTGAATTTAAAAGGGATTCAAAATCTCAACCCAGAAACTACAGACCTGTGAGTTTAACATCTGTGGTTGGGAAATTATTTGAAGGGCTGTTAAGGGATGATATTCAAGAATTTATTTTAACAAGAATACCCTAAGTAGGAATCAATAATTTTATGATCAAAGTTTTATGAAAGACAGGTCGTGCCAACTTAACTTTGAGTTTTATGAAGTTGTTAGTAGAAATATTCATCAGGGTGATCCAGTGGATGTGATCTACTTTTGCTAAGGCATTTGATACAGTTCCACACAAAAAGTTACTATTAAAAAGTTAAATCAGTTAGTGTAGATGACAAATCTTGTTATTGGATAGAACACTGGCTTATAGGAACACTCAGCTGTCCAAATACAAAAAGCAAATCACGCTTTAGCAGATATACTCCAATAAAAACACTCCAATGCACGCATGCATTTTTCATCGGTAGTATATAAAACAGCTATTAAAACCTGCAGATATCTTGCGTGCAGCCTTTGCAAGCCCTCCCCTTCAAACCCCGCCCAGATTTTCTGTGGCTGTCCAATCACAGACTTCCCAATGTAGCTCAGTGAGAAGTATTTGCAAGGCAGGTGCTCTGAGCAATTGCTGCCTCTTGAGTTTAGTTCAACTGAGCTAACAAAACCAGGAAGTAACAAGACCGATTGTATGATTTACATCCAGGGGGGGATGTAACACAGTTAATTTATAAAAGTATCAATTTCTATTGAAATCTGACTGTGTGTAAAATGAAAAAAAAAAGTACACACTCTTCACACAAAACATTTCAGCAAGCTCAAAGGGCCAGGGGCATCCCTTTAAACATAGAGTACAGAGAGTAGTAGAGATAGAAAATATACAAATTAGACAAAAATGGTGAGTGGAGTGCCTCAGGATTCTGTCCGGATCCCACATCTTTTTTAATTTGCTCATAAATAATCTTAACGTTGGCATTGTAACTAGGCAAGATAAATGAACATGATATAACTTCTCTACAGAGGATACATTGGGGTACTGGGCAGGCGAGTGGCAGATGAGATTCAACACAGATAAATACAAAGTCATGCATTTTGGAATAAGGAACCCACAATCCACTGATACATTAAATAGGGTTGAGTTAGGGTAACTGTAAATAAAAAAGGACTTGGGGACTGTTAAGACACTCCCGGCATTAAGGAGGGAACTCGCCGTTTAGTAGAGCTTCACACACATACAACACCCACAGACATACACAGCACCCACAGACATTCACAACACCTACACACATACAGCACACACATACAGCACCCACAGACATACACAGCACCTACACACATACAGCACCCACAGACATACACAGCACCTACACACATACAGCACCCACACACATACACAACACCTACACAGATACAGCACCCACAGACATGCACAGTACCCACACACATACAGCACCCACACACATACACAGCACCTACACACATACAGCACCCACACACATACACAGCACCAACACACATACAGCACCCACAGACATACACAGCACCTACACACATACAGCACCCACAGACATACACAGCACCTACACACATACAGCACTCACACACATACACAGCACCAACACACATACAGCACCAACACACATACAGCACCCACACACATACAGCACCCACAGACATACACAGCACCCACAGACATACACAGCACCCACACACATACAGCACCCACAGACATACACAGCACCTACACACATACAGCACCTACACACATACACAGCACCAACACACATACAGCACCCACAGACCTACACACATAAAGCACCAACAGACATACACAGCACCTACACACATACAGCACCCACAGACATACACAGCACCTACACACATACACAGCACCCACACACATACAGCACCAACACACATACAGCACCCACAGACATACACAGCACCCACACACATACAGCACCCACACACACATACAGCACCCTCACAAACACACACAGCACCCTTACACACAGCACACAAACAGCACCCTCACACACAGCACACAAACAGCACCCTCACACACACAGTACACTAACAGTACCCTCACAAACACAAACACAAACACAGCACACTACCAGTACCCTCACACACAAACAGCACCCTCACACACAGTACATTAACAACACCCTCACAAGCGCACACACACACACACAAACAGCACCCTCACACACAGTACAATAACAGCACCCTGACAAGCGCACTCACACAAACACCCTCACCCACATAGCACACTACCAGCACCATCACACACACATCACACTAACAGCACCCTCACACAGCACACACACAGCAGTATACATATACATATATATACATACATACATATATACGCGGCGTGTGCTCGTGCTTTAGGGTGCACACCCTAATGCAATAGGCTGCGCACACCTATGATCCTAGTGTAAGCGAGTAAACTTGCAGAAGCCAGACACAGAGAGATGGATGCAGGTTTTCAGGAAGTAAGAGGTCTTTATTAACATACCGATCGGGTCTCAGATGAACTAACGTTCCAAAACAGGCCTGAGGGCCGAACACATGGAGTACATGCTTTTTGTAGAACTATAACTCCTCCCATTAATAGCTCCACCCACATATACCCTTAATCAATCGGTGGACAGGATTTGGATTTCCTTATATGGGCAGACCACATGGCTCATCCGAAACAAAGGAGAAAGGAATGTGATTTCAGTTCCTGCATTCCTGCACATGCTCAGTACATTGAAGACAGTATCTTAGCTACATGTAACTAACTAACTGATACAACATACACATATGCCATGTGGAAATCTCGATCTACTAAATTTACATTTCACCGAAGTTCCATCATACTAGTTGTGACAAAGTTATGCGTGCTGAACCAACTTGTAATCCTGACACTAAGTTCATTAACAGGAATATATAACAGACAAGAGGTCACCCATTGATACTGGAAGAAAGGAGTTTTCACTTACAGCAGACGAAAGGGTTTTTTACAGTAAGAACAATACAGCAATATGTTGAATTCTTTACTCAAAGAGATTGTCTTATCAGATTCTGTAAATATATATTTGCTCAGTGCGCTCGAAGTACCAGTTAAAATGCCAGTGATTTTGTAATCCCTGTATATTGCAGAAAGGGATAGGGCAGGGTCTCCATGTGTTCTGATTCCTGAGAGCTTGGCCTGGAATTACAATGTGCCCTTGATTCTAAACATTCTGACTGAAGCAAATTTTGTACCATGTTTGAGAGGATATTACTTAATAGCTCGAAATATGATAATCTGATTAACTTGGTAAAATAAATCATCTGGTGTGGCTGTTAATCCTTGGAAGGGTCTCTGACCCTTGCTTAAGTCATGGAGCCAGGGCAAGATACAAACTGCCCTGATGACATCGGCCCAGGACAGAGTTTACCCTGATTCCTGTCACTTTGTCATTTTGGAGCCACGTATCATCCAGTCCTAAAGGGAGATAAATACGTCAGCTGGGATATAATGACGCTGATTTACTAAACTGAGAATTGTGTTTAACTCCCAATCTTGGCAGTTTACCAATTTGAATGTTTTGACCCAAACTTTGCATTTTCCTCTTTACCGAATAACCTTGAATGATGCATTGATTGGCTGTAAATCGATACATTGCAGGAAGGGAGATAGATTAATCTCGACAGTTCTTTTAGAATCTCTTCTTGATCAGCTGGCGTATTTCCCACAGAATATGAAACATTCATCCTGCAGGGCAGCCCTTTTCATGGACTGTTCATCACAACTGTAACCCGACATCCCCCCAAAAATGGAAAAAGGTGTCTTCCTTTTATGTAGGTAAATAGCATCTTCAAATAAGCATGTTAGCTATGCCGACGTGTTTATGTAATGCAGCCCAAAGCTTAGTAACGCAAAAAGGGTAGTCAGCGCCAAAAATCTAATCCACAGATAAGAAACAAAACAAGAATATGTGTTTCTGAAGAATTCTCACCACTACTCGTTAACAATACGAAAAAATCTGTCCAGTCAAAATCTTCTTAAAATAGATGGACAGTGATAAATGGAATTCCCTCATCCGTTAGCTGCTCACCCAGTCTCCACTACTTCAAAAAATCATTAAAAACCCACTTCTTCATTAAAGCGTATCAATTAAACTGTTAATAGCTCCCGACTGATTCCTCTCTTGCAACTATCACTAGTCTAATAATATCCTTACCTTTTTGTGTCACTTTACCCCACTCCCTTTAACATGTAAACTCAGTGAGCAGTGCCCTCAATCCCTCTGTTACTGTGTCACTATACCCCACTCCCTCTAACATGTAAACTCACTGAGCAGGACCTCAATCCCTCTGTTACTGTGTCACTATACCCCACTCCCTCTAACATGTAAACTCAATGAGCAGGACCTCAATCCCTCTGTTACTGTGTCACTATACCCCACTCCCTCTAACATGTAAACTCACTGAGCAGGCCCTCAATTACTGTGTCACTATACCCCACTCCCTCTAACATGTGAACTCACTGAGCAGGGCCTCAATCCCTCTGTTACTGTGTCACTATACCCCACTCCCTCTAGCATGTAAACTCACTGAGCAGGACCTCAATCCCTATGTTACTTTGTCACTATACCCCACTCCCTGTAACATGTAAACTCACTGAGCAGGGCCCTCAATCCCTCTGTTACTGTGTCACTATACCCCACTCCCTCTAACATGTAAACTCACTGAGCAGGCCCTCAATCCCTCTGTTACTGTGTCACTATACCCCACTCCCTCTAACATGTAAACTCACTGAGCAGGCCCTCAATCCCTCTGTTCCTGTGTGTCCAACTTGTCTGGTTACAACTACATGTCTGTTCATCTACCCATTGTAAAGCGCTGCGGAATTTGACGGCGCTATATAAATAATAACATAATAATAATAATAACCATGGTATGCCATGGCTAGGAAGGTTAAGGAGATTTTTTTCCCCACTATATGTGAATTTAATCTATTTTAAGTATTTTATTTTGAATAAAAATATTTTTTTATTAGGAACGAGAAGCGGGGAGAATTTTTTAGAAATACGTATCCTTTTTTTCCCTTGTCTGTGTAATAACAATACAGGGTGTATTTGGCAGCTCCGTCTGTGGGCGTGGATACCGAGGTATGTGCTGGGAGTGTTATAGAGCCGGGGTGGCTGGGAGAAGTTTCTTATTGTGAATGTCCTGGGTGATTCATGGCTCATTTGCTGACAGTATACAATTTGTCGTCCAATAAGATTGTGGGGTGAGTGAGGGGAACCTGGGTTTGGGAGAGGATGCATTGCTTTCTATAGGGCCCTGAGTGTGCATGGTGCTCTGTGTGGGTGACGCTCCACCATCTTGTGCGCCGTGCCTCTGCTTTCAGGGTATGGAGCCAGGGTCTGGTAGGACACCTTTAACAATGGACTGTGTCCTTCGGGGGTTCTGTGACTTTAACACAAACTGTCCCAGGATGTAATCATTTCCTTCCCATAGAATGACTGCCAACCAGGAGCGCACGTTTATCGCTGTCAAGCCTGATGGTGTCCAGAGGGGACTGGTCGGTGAAATCTTGAAGCGGTTTGAACAGAAAGGATTCCGCCTGGTAGCCATGAAATTAAAGCAGGTAGCCAACATTATTTACAGATACCATGGGGGAGTTGCTGCTGAATGTTCATATATTCTCATTTCCTGGCCCTGGCTGTCGGTGTACCCATATCCTGGCCCTGGCTGTGGGTGTGCCCATATTGTAACCCTGGCTGTCTTTGCTCTGTGTTTCCGGGTTTGGCTGACACACCAGACTCCCTGGGGCATTATTAACCCTCCTGGTCTCTTTAATAGTTGTATTATGTTCCTACCGTCTATACAGGAGTGACAAAGGATTATTATTATTATGTTATTATTTATATAGCGCCATCAAATTCCGCAGCGCTTTACAATGGGTGGACGAACAAACATGTAGTTGTAACCAGACAAGTTGGACACACAGGACCCTGCTCAATGAGCTTACATGCTAGAGGGAGTGGGGTAAAGTGACACATAAGGTAAGGATAGACCTCGGAAAAGTGTATAACTAAACCTTCCAGAATTTGGAGACCTTTATCTGCTCTAGATTTACATTTAGCTGCCCTTGCAATAAGGGGTTAAATTAACCGATTAATTGTATCAATGTGAAGAATACCGGTTACCTTTAGCTATTTGAGTGACGGCTGCCTGAAGAGTCCCTGCATTTCTGAGTTTTCACTTTCATGCCTTCTCTTGCAGGCCCCCAAAGACCTCCTGAAACAGCACTACATTGACCATTAAGATCGCCCCTTCTACAATGGATTGGTTGAATACATGAGCTCCGGGCCAGTGGTTCCTATGGTACGTACTGGGCAGTGCCCTGCTGAGCTCAATGTCGGGGATATTTACTTCCAGTGAATTGTTGGGGTTGAAGATTGAATTGCAATACCTTATTCTGAAATATTCTCCAAATTGCTATAGTCACATCTTCGCCATCGTAGACTAAACTTTGCTATCTAGTATTTATTGCACTAAAATTCAAAGTTTAGTAAATTAAACCCCTGTCTGTTCTGTTGAGTCTCTTTCCTGTACTTGAGTAATGGCTAAGAACAATCTTAAAGTGAACCAGTCATGTTGGGGTCGACTTATAATTACACCCAAAGCCATAAATAGAACCCAAACATATATTATCTTTGTTGGGAACATCACTTGGATTGTAATTTGTCCACATTACTCTCTCCCTTCAGGCTACCAAATCCAAAACCAAACACATTTCCCCAAAATGTACCCTTTGTTCCATCACAGAACTGAAACCCCAATGTTCTCTTTACATATGAGGATTCAGTAGCTATTACATCATCATCCAGTCCAAGGGTGCCCAAAAGGTAGATCCCCAGAACTACAACTCCCGTGATGTATTGCATGCCTGGAATGTGTTTAGAATGACAACGCATCATGGAAGCTGTAGTTTTAAAACATCTTGGGATCTACCTTATGGGCACCCCTGATCTAGTCCAATGCTTCTCAAAATGAAACGCATGGCAAATCACTGCAATTTCACTAACAAACGTGCATTCAATGTCATGATGTGTGTGATGACTCTAAACACGAGAACTCCAAAAATCAAAGGAAAGAACTCTTAGTGGCTGTCTGAAAACCTCTAGAGTTGTGTTTTGACTATATGCAAACATTTACTACATAACAGAAAAGGGACAGGAACTTTGCACCAAAACCACAACATTCAGATGTGATTTGGTGATTAGAGTACCTTTAAATGGTTACTCACACCGGTCTACTGGGTTAGTGTTGCCATTCTACGTGGGGTATGGGTTTTACCCTACTGTAACAGCCACCCTCTGGTTGCGTTTTTCTCCTCTTCTGCCCATCGAAACATTGACTGATCTTACGTGGACAAACCATGATAGTGCCACACTGGGTTTATTACCAGAACATCTGTGTCAAAATGGAGCGACGTTGGTCACTATTCCTATATTCCACCAACAAACGACATACTAGCTGGAGAACATCTGTGACAGAGGGGAAAACTGCCAGTTTGGGGTTCTCCTGCTATCACCTGTCACTCAATTGTTGGCACAGACATCTATGCCAAGAATTCACAGGTAGCAGAGGGCCCAAATTTCTAAAGGGCCTGAAAAGAAAACCTATACATTGGCCAGCATTATGCATAGATGACAATTTCAGCTCTGTCATTTAAACCTAACGTGTGTGTACCATGACGGCTGCACTGTAAAAGAAGACTGTTCAATGTCTATGGTATTTATAGAGTAATTCCCACCAGTAATAGCTGAAACACTAATCGGGGTGTCCTGTAACAAGCTTATACCATTCTCCACAGGTCTGGGAGGGTCTGAATGTGGTGAAGACAGGCCGTGTGATGCTGGGAGAGACCAATCCGGCAGACTCTAAGCCCGGCACCATCCGTGGAGATTTTGGCATTCAGGTTCGCAGGTGAGTAGTGTAAAAAAATCAAAGAAACCCCCAAAACACACCACTTCATTCCTTCTATCACAGAATCCAGTTTACAGCACAGAATACTTGGCTGCTTTTGCCATTTGATCCTCTAGACTTGCAAGAAGTGAATTATTTGAATAATCCTATTTAATGAAATTTGAGCTGGAATTTTTTTTTAAAGGGATACTCCAGGCTGGCAATGAACAAAGATGGTACAATAATAAAAGTTCTCTGTTCCTACCTTGCTGCACAATTCCACAATCCTGCATTAATGTCTGAAGCCAGTGTGATCTGGATATTTCCCAGCCAATCCTGGTCCTCTTACCTTTAACGGAAGTGTAGTATCCCACAAAGATGGGGTTTACGTAGTGATCTAGGTTGAAAGCACACTAGGGTTAAAAGTCCATAAAGTTCAACCCTTCTGCCAACCATGCCACAAAGAGGGGGAATCCATCTTAGCTCCATAATGGCATTTAGATTTCTCCTAGAACAACCTCTTCACATACACACTAATATCCAACAAAAAATCGAGACCTTCTTTAAATATATTTACAGAGTCTGTGTTATAAGCTTCCAGCACAATAATGGCAGATGATTCTGAACGGACGTGTATAGGACTGAATACAGTGACCGGCTAAATGTTTGTTGTGGAACATATGGAATGCTCTGAGTGAGTGTCTGAAGGTTTAAAGATCTTTTTGGAGAAATGATATGTTAAAGTATTACTATAGTGCCAGGAATACGCACTAAAGCTCCCTCTGCCTTCCCTGTCCCAGCCGTGGTTATCTGATCCCAGCACCGATGCCCCTTGGTGCTGGGCCACGGCTCCGCCTTTTCTTTTATCTCTCGAGGAGTGTACGCACATTAGACCTTGAATCAATGCTTTCCTATGGGGAAGTAGCTGATGCTGGATGTCCTCATGCAGAGCTTGAAGACGTCCAGCATCATTTACAGGACCAAAAGCCCGTTAACATCGAGGAAGCGCCTCCAGTGGCTGAGTGGTATGAAGCCAATAGAGGCTGTCTTAGTGCTACAATGTAAACAATGCAGTGTAGTAGACTGCTTATTAAGGCTCTGTATCTGTGACTTCAGCTTATTCTCACTCTATTGGACCATATTCTATCGTCACATTCCTGTTCTGACTTACCGTTGCATCTTCCAGGAACATCATTCACGGCAGCGACTCTGTGGAAAGTGCCAAGAAGGAGATTGCCTTGTGGTTCACTCCAGAAGAGCTGTGCGACTACAAAAGCTGTGCCAACGACTGGGTGTATGAATAACAAGCGTCTTTCCTTTACCTGTCAGTCATTCCGTAACATGAATAAAGTATTACTGCCCCAAACAAGCTTGCCTGTGTCCTGTTTTGCTTACCCGTAAATCTAGATCAATTCTTGCCAACATCAGAACTGCAAGTCAGCAAAAAGACAATAAATAAACATGATTATCCTGGCTCCGACACCTGCATGGCGAAAGTGGGTCTTGATCCAGTTAGAAGGTGCCAGAAACCACCCAGGGTGATTAGACCTGCTAATAAGCATGATGTATAATTAACAAACTGGTCTAGCTTGCAAACATTACAGGAAGTTCAAATGGGTCATACCATTCATACAGTCATGAAGGGGAAGTAGTAAACGGACTCTACCATTTCACTGTTAACATTACATTAACAGTCGAGAGATTGATAAACATTGCTATAGCGGTTTTAAATACCTTTAATTTAGAAATACATGATTCAACTGTATTTATTTATGATTACACGTATTTACATAGGCAATATTCTAAATTTATTCTTGCATTTATTTAATTTGTTTTTGTGCCAGTAATGACTTAGGAGTCCTTGCAAATATCTATAAGCAAGGTATTTGACCATATTAATTTACTGTATGTGAGAATTAGCATTTTTTTCCTTTTACACAAACATTACGGACCCTGTGTGAAATATTCCAAGAGAAAGGGCACTGCATACTGTCTACAGGTTCTTTCTAGACTGTAAGCTCTTTCGAGCTCTTTCGAGCAGGGCCCTTATCAACCTATTGCTCCTGTAACATTTTGTTGTTGTCTCCTACATGGATAAATGCCCCCCTTTATAATATAGTAGAGTGCTGCAGAATATTAATAATAATAATAAATTTTACCTCCCCGATTTTTTTACAAAGGCTGAAAAAATAAATGTGTCTGCGAAGCAATCTATACACAAACTTGTTTGGATATGTTTATATGCTAGCTTGCTTCAAATACATGGTGTGCTAATATAAAGTACCGGCCCAAGACAGACTTTCCACTAATCCCTAGGAGATTCCTAGGAGTCATTCATCACCCAATCCTGACAATCACTAAACACGCCCGGTAGCCTATTTACTAAACTGAGAACTAGGGTTAATTCCCTAACATGGCTCCTGTCCAGGTTAATTGACCTAACTTTGCATTTCCCCCTTTACTGAATAACCTTGAACGATGCATTGATTGGCTGTAAATCGATACATTGCAGGAAGGGAGATAGATTAATCTCGACAGTTCTTTCAGAATCTTTTCTTGATCAGCTGGTGTATGTCCTACAGAATAAGAATGATTCATCTTGCAGGGCAGCCCTTTTCATGAACTGTTTCATGGACAACATATGATCAGTAGACAGGGTGTATTTGTAGTTATTGGCACGGATGTGGGTGCTGGGAGTGATACAGAGCCGGGGTGGTTTATAAAGAATTTCCTGGGAGGTTTACAAAGTAAATGCTGTCAGCTGGCATGTTTGCGGTTAAGGATTAATAGATCAGAAAGCTGACTGCATGGAATATCTGACACACACGTGCATTTAATCCTTCGCCGGGCAGCAGCAAGGTGTGCAAGTGAAATTCTTCCCCTACTAGAATCCTACCATGAGCTTTGTGCCGTTTGTTTGGGGACCCTGTAACATTGGGGACCTTCACTCGGCATTACTAGTAGTGTTTCCTGTTCAGTAGATTTATAGAAAGCTATTAACCCCTTAAGGACACATGATGGATATATTCTGTCATGATTCCCTTTTTTTCCAGAAGTTGTGTCCTTAAGGCGTTAAACAGGTTTCTGTCTATTAAACCCACACATTTCGTTCAGCGTAGTTTATTGACTTCTACAGAATGGAATGCAGCGGAGGGGAAGGGGCTGCAGTTGAATCTTTACCCCAATACAGCCGTAAAGTATGCTCATCGTCTATCTTTCTCGTGATATTGCCAACCACGAGATGCTAATTTATCTTGTAGTCTGCTGGATCAGCCATTGAACCAGAGGAAGGCTAGCTACATTTACTATGATGCTCAGCCAGCTGTAGCCTGTTAGGGAGGTAAGATGGCTGCTTCCAGAGTTTGCTTCTCAATGCATCCTTATGGGGTAGCATTGGATTGGCTGAGATCTTCATGACTGATGATCTCAGCTGGAGGTGGGGCAACCACACAGGGACAGTCGCGCAGGGGGAAATAAACGTAGGAAAACTACATTTTCTAAACGGCTTCCCGGACACCTAAATATAGTACTAGGAATATATATTTGTAAACACTACAGTGTTTCCTTAACCCGTATTTTGGTGTTTCTTTTAACATTGCCGATCTGGTAAATATTGTATTAATGCCCGGATCTTGTTACTTTTAGTGTTTACTAACTGTTCACTAAATCTCCAATGGTGAACTTAAAAACAAATTCCAAAACTTACCCACTATGAATTGATTTGTAAGAGGTGGGCAATTTTTGCCTCCATTTTGCAATGTGGTTTTAAGTTAGGTACATCTGGGAGCTTGGTGAATAATCCCCATAGATAAATGTGCTGCACTGTAATATTTAATGTGTCACAGCTGACATTAGAGTATTTTTAAATTCAGCACCAACGCTTGCGATGGCTTCTGTTACTCCTTACGGTATTCCATTTTATTTCTCACTAAACTGGTCTGTGGAGTCTAAACGGAACACGACCAGCAGAAGTCAAAGTTCTCTATGCACCACTGCAGCCAGCTCTACATAACACAGAACCAGCACAGAACCGACAGAGAACCTGTAGTGCAATTATCGGCTTTGTAGCAGCAGTTATCCAAACTGTATGCCCCAGAATCCTTTGCTGTGTATTCCAATGACACGTATAGCTGTGTAATTAGACACTGCATGTGAGGACGGAGGGATAGAAAGGGGGTTTCTGCTATTGTTAAGACGAGAACATCTCCCCGGGGGAGTTCTGAAAAGGAATCCTGCATACAAATGAAAAGTAATTAATATTTTATTTGGTGTATCAATTCCATTGAGCACAGCTAACGAGAAACACTAAACAGTAGGTTGGACTAGGAAACAAACAGGAGAGGCAAAATTTCCCCAAATTACAAAGGAAGAGTATACGGCTGGCCCGAAGGACGAGTATACGGCTAACCCAAAGGAAGAGTATAACGCTGGCCCAAAGGAAGAGTACAGCGCTGGCCCAAAGGAAGAGTATACGGCTGTCCCAAAGGAAGATTCTACGGCTGTCCCAAAGGAAGAGTATACGGCTGTCCCAAAGGAAGATTATACGGCTGGCCCAAAGGAAGAGTATACGGCTGGCCCAAAGGAAGATTCTACGGCTGGCCCAAAGGAAGAGTATATGGCTGTCCCAAAGGAAGAGTATACGGCTGGCCCAAAGGAAGATTCTACGGCTGGCCCAAAGGAAGATTCTACGGCTGGCCCAAAGGAAGAGTATATGGCTGGCCCAAAGGAAGATTCTACGGCTGGCCCAAAGGAAGATTCTACGTCTGGCCCAAAGGAAGAGTATACGGCTGGCCAGAACCCACTAATCATTTGCAGAAGAATACCGTTAGCATCTATGGGGCAGCCCCATAAATCCTCTCCAGAAATTAAACAGATGTCAGATGCACAATCAAGTATTAATGAACAATCTCTCTATATTGATTTAATTGTATAAGGGACCATAAACAGTTTGCACAGAGAAGGGCTACACACAAGATACAGCTTGTGTGCTAAATGTTGTCACTAAAACAAAGTATCAAATTAGAAACAATGTAACAAATGAGAATCACTTATTCAAAGTAGCCTGTGCTAGCAATGTCAGTCACTTTGTTTATACAGCCCTCGTCACACCTCCCTGCATGTGACTTGCACAGCCTTGCTAAACACTTCCTTTAAAGTGAGATCCAATGTTTATACTTCCTTTATTGCAAATTATGTTTAATTTAGAATTTATCTTCTGCTCTGTAAATAGCCCACTAGAGCCTGGATGAGCCTCATGTGTGTGGTTAAAATTCAATTTACAGATCAGGAGAGAAAAACCTTCCAAACAAGTTACCATCTATATGAAATTGAAACCTTTTTTTTCCATGCAGGCTGTGTCAGTCACAGTCAGGGGAGGTGTGGCTAGGGCTGCATAAACAGAGAAGTTAATGAGACTACAGGTGCATGCTCTATACACTAAAACTACTTTATTAAACAAAAGTTGTTTTGGTGACTATAGTGTCCCTTTAAGTTAAAGTTGTTTTGATGTTTTTATATAATTCTTTATTTTTGTGTGCGTAAGAGTAACAAACATTCTTGCGGTGCCCCAATAGCAGTGGCAAGACAATTAGTTGAACAAAGTATACAGTTATAAGGCATTCGATTGTACTGCACAATTTTTTAAAGTGGTGTGAGGTATAGGTTAGGCATGACATGTCTAGAGGAAATGGTGAGAGAGAGCTTCTATACTATGCATTCAAGATCATAGACATATAGGTAGGGTTAATGAAGTGGGGTTTGTAACATGCTTGTGGTGTTGGGTTAAGATAGTAAAAGACAAGATTATACCATGCTACAAGATGAGTGTTAAAGATTAAAGCATTGCTAATCAGGCTTTAGATGTGTTGTTTGCTACGTAGGTGGCTAGCTCAGGTGCGGGCATAAATTGGGTGCACACCCTGTGTGGGCAAAGTGTGCAGCGTCCATGTTAAGTGAAGTGGGCTGAGCGGTTTACCGATCCCCATCTGCCGTGGTGTCGGTGCCCAGCGTAGTAGCCGGTGTGGGTCCTCCCATTCAGTGCTCTTCCAGCTCTCAGCCGGGATGAAGTCCTCATGCGTAGTGGCATAAGTCCCCCGTCTTGCGGTATGTCTTGTGCTTGTTGTCCGTGGTGGGGACTATGAAGCTTGCGGTGGCTGGTGGCCTCTGCCGAGGTGGTTTGATGAGTTTGGGGAGGTCCCTCTTTGCACCCCTGTACCTGTAAGTAGAAGCACTGGGCTGGGTTGTTTCTGGGAGTTCGAGGGCCCCTGTCATGGCGTCTTCGCTCGGGAGGGGTAGAGATCTCCTT